ACTGTGTGTCCCCCCCCGACCCTGTACGTGCCCCTGGGTGACCCACCTTGTTGAGCAGGAATTCATCCAGGTACTTGAGCTCATTGGCGTTGGTGATCTGGCGGAACACCGACTCCCGCCACTTCTCTGACACGGTGATTCTGCCGATCTTGAGGTTTCGGTTCTTCTTCCCTTTGCCTCCTGGCTCCTTGGCGTGCTTCTCCCCGGCTGCGTGGCGGTGCTGGTGGCTGGAGGAGGCTGGAGGGAGAAGGAGCAGCTGGGGAGGTGGGTGCTGGGGGAGGCAGGGTCACACCCACAGAGAACCAGGACCCTGCCCTGCCGCGAACCGGGGTCTGCAGCCAGAAAGTGCCCTGGTGGGGCTGGGACCAGCCCTGAAGCCCTGTGCCCGAGGCCCCACCTGGAGATAGCACACGTCCCCAGGGACCCTGGCGGCTCCACCATCCATCCCTGAGGCTGCCAGCAACCAACCTTCTAGATTCTTCTTGGTGGCAGCAGCTTCCAGCACCGTGTGCCCTGGCACTGTGTTCTCAGTTTCCTCCACACCCTCCAGGCTGGCTTTTTTATCCTTGTTCTTGTGCAAGAAAAGTCTTTTAAAAGTGGATCTGTAGGGGAAAGTAAGGGGTTTCATTTAAGCCTCTGGAAATGACCACGGAAGCAAGGCTGAAGGAAAGGTCCTCTTACTTATAAAGAGAAAAAGTAACGCTTTTCTTGGTTGTCAGCGCAATGAGATGCTACTAAAAATGAGATTGGTTTGTGTGAACTGACAAGGGGGGGTCAGGTGAAAAAGCAAGATGCAGGGAAGCCACCACAGCATGACCCCATTCTCATTAAAAAAAAAAAAAAAAAAAAAAATAGAACTTACCCTCTGCCCCCTTAAAGTGTTTTTACGGGCCCAAGTTTCAGGGGGAAAAAATCAAATACATGCCAAATCATACACTGAATGGTGTGCCCCCCAAAAGATGTGTCCATGTGCTAAATAACGCTCAGGACCTGGGCGTGTGACTTTATTTGGGAAAAGCGTCTTTGCAGGGGCGCTGGTGGCTCAGTCGGTTAAGTGTCTCACTCTTGGTTTTGGCTCAGGTCATGACCTCGTGGTTTCTTTCTTTCTTTTTTTTATTTTTATTTTTACGTTTATTCATTTTTGAAAGACAGAGAGAGACAGAGCACAAGCAGGGGAGGGGCAGAGAGAGAGAGGGAGACACAGAATCCGAAACAGGCTCCAGGCTCCGAGCTGTCAGCACAGAGCCCGACGCGGGGCTCGAACTCACAGACGGCGAGATCATGACCTGAGCCGGAGTCGGCTGCTCGACCTACTGAGCCACCCAGGCGCCCCAAAGACCTCGTGGTTTCTTGAATGTGACCCCTGCGTCAGGCTCCACGCCGGCAGCACGGGGCCCGCTTGGGATTCTCTCCCCCCCTCTCTCTACCCCCTCCCCATTTGTACTGTCTCTGTAGATCTCAAAAAAAAAAAAACAGTCTCTGCAGATGTGACTAAGTTCTATGTGCCACGATCTGAATGTGTTTGTCGCCCCAAATTCGTATGCTGAAGTCTAATCCCCAGTGTGATGGTATTAGGGGGCTGATTAGATCACGGGGGTAGAGTCCCTATAAATGGGACTAACACCCTTACAAAAAGGGCCCCAGGGAGTTCCCTTGCCCTTCCTGCCACATGAGGCCCCAGTGAGAAGATGCCATCTGTGAACCAGGAAGTGGCCCCCACCACATACTGCATCTCCTGGTACCTTGGTCTTGAACTCCTAGCCCCCAGAACCGTAAGAAACACATGTAGTTCAAGCCACTTAGTCTGTGGTAGTTTTGTTAGAGCAGACGCTAAATGAAGCACTTGGAGCTGAGACCATCCGGAATACCCAGTTGGGCCTTAAATCCAGTGACAAGTATCCTCATAAGAGACAGAGAAAGAGAAAACACAGAGGAGAGAAGAATGTCAGAGAGAGAAGACAGGGGCGGAGATGGGCTGATGCAGCCACAAGCCAAGGACACCCGGAGCCCCCAGGAACCGGAAGAGGCGAGGAAGGGCCCTTCCCCAGGGCCGTCCGAGGGAGCCGCCCTGCGGACACCCTGATCTCGGACTCGTGGCCGCCAGGACTGTGAGAAGTGAATTCCAGTTGTTGGAAGCCCCCCTGGTTTGTGGGGCTTCGTTCTGCCTGCCTCTCCAAGCCTGTGCCGGCCCTTCCTCCGCCTCCCGTCTCTGCGTTAGGATCAAAGCCCCCCCCGTCCCATGGCCCATTCTCTCTGCTCTGTGATGGAACCATCTGGAGCACTTCTGTGGAGCTTTCTGGGCCCAGTTTCTTCCATCCCAGGACCCAGGAGGGGTTTCTAAGGTAGAGGGGGCTGGATTTGGATACCATAACAAGTCAAACGGAAACCGTCTCTCTGTGGACCCAGAGGAGGGGACCCAGAGGAGGGGGCTCCAGACTTTAGTGGCAGTCATCAGGCTGGCGAGTGGCCACGCTGGCACATGAGGGGGGCGTGACCTGGGCTCTGTGAGGGATCTCTCAACCCAGGCTGAGCGAACACCTGCCCCACCGTGCATCCTAACTGCCGTCAGTTCAGGAGACCAGACTGCTCTGAGATGGGAGGCCGTGGCAGGGACCCTGGGCATCCCCTGGTGACTTGAGCCACCTCCAGACCCCACACTTACTTAGAGTCTGCCTGGGAGCCTGGGGACAGCCCGGAATCTGTGCCGGCAGAAGCGTCGCCCGACTTCTTCTTCTGGATGGCCAGCTTCTTGGTGCCGGCCTCCCCGTCCACCGTTTCTGTAGAAGGCTGCCAGAGAACAGGGCTGGGTGAGCAAAGGCAGGCAGGACCTGCTGGAGGGAAAGCGGGGGTGCTCTGCTCCCCGTGCACTCCATCCACCGACTTCTCTTCTCTTTTTTATGTTGCCCTTCGGGCAGGGCCAGGGCGCCCCGGGCAGAAGCGGGTTTGGCCCGAGAGGTGGCAGCCGCAGCCTGAAGCTTTACCTGAGTCTTGGTGTGGGACGGGGACAGGAGGAGCTTGGAGACGTCGCTCGTGGATAAGGAAATGCGCCTCTCCCTGTGAGATCACAGAAACGTGGCTTTTATTTACAAGAGCGAGTTGGACAGTTTTGGTGGTCCCGACTTGGGTGGGAGGGGACCAGGGATGCCGCTGGGTGCTCCCCAGTGTGCCGGACGGCCCAGCCCAGACAAGGAGCCTGACACAGGTGTCAGTGTGCGAGGCCCAGAAAGCCCGACCTAACAGCCCACATCCTCCTCCGGCCCTTTTGCCCTCTGGCCAAGCAGGTCTCTGGGAGGTCAGGCTGGCGACTCGGGAGTCATCGGTATGCAGCTGACTAAGGGTCAGCTCTTCAATTCCTGGGTGAGTGTGATCACCCCTAATCTCTGCCGAGGAAACAGAAACCCAGGCAGGCCAGGGAGTGGGATGTTGCCCCGAGACGCTGCTTCCCACGAAGCCAGGGGATTTCTGTGTGAACACAGCTCGCTGTGGCGGGGGCCTCAGGGTCCCAGCTGGCCCCAGGCTCAGCGGCTCCTGCCAGATGCCTCCCCTCCACCTTCCTCTGCCCCTTCTCCCTCCGTCCTCAGGGCTCCCACACTCAGAGCCACTCACATGTTTTTGGGACGTGCGGCACTGCCCTGGTCCTGCGGCCAGGAATCTGTGTGTCCCTCCACCCTGCCCGCCCAACCCAGCCTGGCACCCCGGGTGTTCAGACAAAGGAGGGCCCGGGGCTTACTTACTCTGTGGGTGTGAGAGTGGCCTCCATAGCCCGGTACCGCTCGCTGAGGTCCAGGGACTGGCTCAGCATGGTGCTGGAACTGGCAGCCATCAGCTTCTTGCCCCGCCAGAGCTCCACGGCGCTGGCCAGCCGCTCAGAGTCCGGGTCCCGGTACCGCTGGATCTGGGTGGAGCCTCCGGGGCTCTCGGGCCTGTCCTGTGCCCTCAGGTCACCACCCAGCTTGCTCTTGTCCTTGGGAGTCTCAGGGGTGGTGCTGGGGGTGGGCTCGCCGACCCTAGTGTCCAAGGCTAGGCTGGTTGGCCGTTCCACGTGGCCAGGCGTTGGGTCCCCACCCTGGGGCACCTTCGGGGTTTCTCCGGGCAGCTGGCCGGCTGGAACAGCCTGCGGTGGCTCCTCCGGCTGCTGCTTAAAAGCGTTCTCTGCCTCCGTCCCCAAGTCTGAAAGGGTTTCGTCTTCTCTGCTCTCCTTTCTGTCTTCTGGGAGGCTCTCTCCTTGCTCGAGGATGGCCCTTCCAGAAGGCTCTCTGAGAGCAATCTCTTCCTTGCAGGACTGGATGTGTTTGTTCTGGAGCTTCACGTGCTCCAGCCCTCTCTGCCGCCGTGACTCGCGCTTCTCTCGGCTGCTGGGCACCTTCTCGTGACTTTCAGCCGTGTTCTTCTGGGGTGCGGGAGGTTTCTCCAGGCTGGGGACCTCCTCCGGTGGGGAGCTCTCTGCCAGAGGCTCATCGCTTGGCCACACCTCGGGCTCCACTGCCGAAGGCTCCCTGTCCTCCGATGGTTCCGGGCCCTGCCTGGGCACCTGCTCCTGCTCGGCCACCTGGCCTGGCCCTCTCTCTGCTGTTTCTTCCCTCAGGGCTTGCTGGGCCTCCCTCTCCTTCTCGTCAGCCTTCTGCTTCTCTGCGACCATCTGCCTGAAGCTGGTGTGAGGAGTTAAGGGGGAAATTTCAGGAACAAACATGCATGCCACTTCCAGAACCCACGCAGGGCATCAGGGGCCCCTGTGCCACCCGTGGGCTAGGGGCCAGGCTCTGCCTCTGTTAAATGGGGTAACCCTGGCCCTCGGAGAGGCTTCTGGAAATGTGTAAACTCCTCAGCTACGAAAGGGGGATACAGGAGGTGGCCCCTTATTGTCATGGCCACCTCTGCCCTGGGTCTCCCTACCGTGGTAAGGATCTGTTAAGAAATCCCTGAGTTCCTTTGGGGTCCCTGGCTGGGTGGACGCCTGAGATTCACGTAGAAGAATGGGGCAAGGGGAACCGGCTATGGGCTGGTCCTAACAACCTGAACCCTCCACCTCTGAAGCCAAGTGTTTCATTAAGGGGCCCAGGGCGGGCAGGTGCAGCGAAGGGGGGGCGTTGATCTCCGGTGGAGAGCCAGCCTGGCCAACAGTGACCTCTGTCTTCATCTACAGGTGCTGCCCACCAGCCCTGGAGCATCTCTCTCTCTGGGGCCGCGCGTGCCCAGACGGCTAGACTCCTGCCAGCCCCTCCCGGCTTCCCTGCGCCTAGAATCACGTCCTGATGGCTCCGCTGGCCAGAAGCCACCTCAGGCAGCTCTCGGGCGGGTGGAACGTTCGGGGCTGGGGGGAGCTGGGGGGCGAAGGGGGGCCTGGCTCTGCTCACCTCTTGCGCTGCAGGTGACCCCGGCAGAGGCTCTGCAGGCGGATGATACTCTGTCTCTGGTGCTGGTAGGCCACCCGTTGCCGGTAGCCCCTCCACGCAGCCTGGAGGTACACAGCGGCCTGCGTCCTCTCCAGCGTCCGGCGGACACGGTAGGACCGCCAGCAGGCCTGGGGGCGGAGCGGGCATTCAGGGACCTGGCACGTGGAACCCCCCCGGCTGCCCCCACCCCCAGCCCTGCAGGGGGCCGCCCGGTACCTGGATGGCGACGGCCGCCTGCCTCATCTGCAGGAAGTGGCGGCGTTCCAGCACCATCCGGAACCAGCTCTGGAGGAGCAGGATCTTCCGCACGACCTCCCGGTGCAGCGTCTCCTGCAGGGCTTGCCGCTCGGTCTCCTTCAGGAAAACCTGGCGGGCGGGGGCGGGGGTGGGGGTGGGGGGGCACAGAAGGGGTCAGCACAGCCCCCAGAATCCCCGTGCCCGGGAGGTCTCTGCACAGCCCATCCCGGAAGGGCGTGAGACCAAGCTGGCGTGCTGACCGACCCGACCAAGGGGAGCTTTTTAATACGGTGAGAGAATTCACGTAACGTGAAACTAACCATTTCAGTGCAAACAGTTCAATGGCATTTGGTACGTTTGTGACAATGGTGCAAACATCGTTACTGTCTGGCTCCAGAACATTTCCATCACCCCCAGGAGAGGCCCATACCCATTAGCAGTCATCCCCCTGGTCTTCTCCCCCAGCCCCTGGCCACCACTAATCTGCTTTCTCTGGATTTGCCTGTTCTGGATGTTTCATATACGTGGGATCACACACTACAGGCTTTTGTGTCTGGCTTCTTCTCTCGCTCACAATGTTGTCAAGGCTCATCCATATCATAACCTGGATCAGAGCCGTACCACATTGCATTGTATGGATGGCCCGCGTGTTTTGAATCCGTTCATCAGCTGATGAACGGATGGCTTCTTTCTACCTTCCGGCTATTGTGGCTCGTGCCCCTATGAACACGCGTGTATGAGGATTTGTTGGGACGCTTTCTTTCCAGGTCTTTTGGGTCCATACGTGCGGACGGAATTGCTGGGTCACGTGGTAACTCTAGGATTGCCTTGCTGGGGAACTGTGCGGGGACTTTTCATATGAGATGAAGCCCTAACGGGAGCTGACCTTACCGCTGTTGGACGGGGACAGTGGCTGGTGCCACAACACTAAGAAGCAACCAGCATGTACCTAGAGGTGGGAGACGGCGTCTGGAAGGAGCACAAGGGAATGAGACCTTCTGCCAGACATTAAGAGGTACCAACTGGCCCCTGAGCCCCCTGCAGTAACCCTAGGCTATGTGTGAGGAAGCAGGAAAACAGGAGTGATGTCTGGGCCCCGCCCCTTAGAGGCACCCTTTGCCTTCTGGGAAGAAATAGGCGCCGGGGCCCAAAAAAGACACTTCCGCAGCAGAGTCCCTTGTCTTTCAGGCCGTGGGAGGACCCTGTGGATGCTGGAAGCCCCCCGAGGGGCCGGAGTCCTGACCTTGGTCTTCCCGATCTGGTAGCTCCTCTTGTCTATGTCCATCTTTTCCAGCAGGGCAGAGATGACCTCCCTGCAGGGCTGGGCGTTCTTGGGCAGCAGCACCTGGAACTGCTCTGTGAAATCCTGGGGGATTGGGGCCAAGAAAAGAGAATCTCTGCTGAGTGCTTCCGCCACCAGCAAGGATATGATGCTCCAGCGACTCCCAAATTTCCGAAGCCGGGACCTGGTTTGACCGGAATGGCACTGACCAAGCTAAAATCTCGGACTCTCTGCAGCAGCCTAAAGCTTAGGAAAGACTGCCACACACACAGAGCACCAGGGTCGTTCAGCCACTTTGCTGAGTGGCTCTCCAGGGCCTACTGGGGGCTGGCATAGTTGGGGGGCGTGGCCAGGAGACAGGGCTGCCTTTGGGGGGGCTCACGGTCTATGGCTCGTTGGAGGGCTGAGTCATAGCTGGAGATACAGAGCTTTTAAGTAAACAATTAGGTCAAATTTTTAGGAACCAAGCATTAGTGAAATACACTAGCATTTCCTCCCGCTTCTGGGATTTTCCTTTTTCTACTTATACAGGGTCAGAGAGATGCTATTTCCATTCTGCGGATGAGAAAAAGGAGGCAGGCCATGATGGAGCCATGTCCCCGAGGCCATATGGGGACAGCTGGATTGGGGACCCGGTGCCACTGGCTTCAGGCCCAGGGCTCACGTCAGTGCTCATACAGGTGGTTCCAGTTCAGGGCACGAGCCAGGGGTTCTCAACCTAGGCCAGCTTATCACCGGGGACATGTGGTGATGTCGGGAGACATCCAGGGTTCTCCCAACTCGGGAGCGGTGGGTGTTACTGACATCGAGTGGGTGGAGACCCAGGGATGCTGCTCAACATCCTATAATGCACAGGGCAGCCCCTGCAGCGAATGACCTGGTGGCCCTCAGTGTCAATGGTACTGCAGGTGAGAAACTGCTTTAGCAATTTGGTCTTTGCCAACTTGAGGTTAGTAATGATCCTTTGTGGTTTTTTTTTCTTCTTGTTCTTTCTTCTTAAGTTTATTTATCTTGAGAGAGAGAGAGAGAGACAGAGAGTGTGTGCACGTGCATAAACACACGTGGCGAAGTGGCAGAGAGGGAGAGAATCCCAAGCAGGCTCTGCACCATTAGCGTGGAGCCTGATGTGGGGCTCGAACTCAAACCATGAGATCGTGACCAGAGCTGAAGTCGGATGTCTAACCGACTGAGCCACCCAGGCACCTCTGATCCTTCTGTGTTTCTCAAAAGCCCAGGGAGCCATCTATGAAGTCATCACCTCCTGGGGCTCAGTTTCCGCATTGGCAAAACAGAAGCCAGGACCGCCTGCTGTTGGTTTGGCAGAATAAAAGAGATGGGTATAAAAGCGTCTGTCGCCGAAGATGCTCAACAGAGGGCAGAGCTGTGCAGGGATCTGCTCCTGTCATTCCCTCTTCCCGGCTTGGCTTTACAACTCTGTATCCTTCCAGGCTTGGCCTGGGCCCAGCCACCTCTTCCAAGAAAACTTGCTCCCTCTCCCCACCCCGACCTCTGAAATGACTGGCATAAATGCCAACAGGGCCGGAGCGGAGAAGCCCTGGCACAGAGTAACCCCCTGGGCTCATGTTCCAGAGAAGCGCTCTCTCTCAAAGAGGGAGGTGGCCAGCCCTCTGCCCTGTCACGACGGCCACGAGTGTGTGGCTTACCTGGAACGTGTACTTGGCACTGTAGCCTGACCTCCGGATCCGCACCGTCTCCAGCATGCCCGTGTAGCGTAGCTGCTGCAGCACCAGCTCGTCGTCGAAACACAGCTCTTTCTGCAACGGGATATGAGCCATCAGGACAGGTGCCAGCTGCGGGACAATCAAGCGTCGGCAGCCGGGGATGGGGATCTGTAGGCACGAGATCCTGTAGGATTCTGGACATGAGCATGGCCCACACGGGCCCCCCCGGCTGGTCAGAATGTCCCCAGCACGGCAGCCGCGGGCACCTGGAGGACCCTTCTTTCCTTGTTCCAGACATTCTTTTTGGAATAAAGAGCTGGGGCTGCTCATCACTGATGCTTAAGGTATTCATCTCTTCTGGAAAATCTGGCGTCTGAGCTGCTCTATTCCCTGGTGTCTGGGAGACAGATGCCATTTCTCACTGCTCAATTTAGGATAATTTGCTGCGAAGAGTTATTTCTTAAGGACTCCAATCAAAACCTGTGTTGAGCTCGTACTCTGTGCCAGGCCCTGGGGTAAACACTAAGGATTTGGCCAAGAGGGGAATAAGGTCTGGAGGTGGGAGCCAGGCGCATATGTGAATGGGGCAGACACTGCCTGGGCCCCCCTGGGAAGTGTCCAACAGGAGAGAGGACCCTGGGCCAGGTCCTGAGGAGGGAACAGGCAGGAGGAGGAGGGCGGGGAGCAGCCAGGTAATGGCCCAGAAGAGGACGGTCCCAGGAGCAGGGGAGAGCCAGAGAAATGGGAAGAGTAGAGACAAAGGGGGTAGGTCCAGATCCTGAACAGCCCCCAGCCAAGCTCCCAAGGGGGCAGAATGGCCAGTGGACCCCTGGGGCAAAGGAAGCCTGGGAGTGAGGGCTGAGCCCACTACTAGGGCCCCCAATGGTGCTCCACTGAGTCTTTCCAGAAGCTTTCAGATCAAATGAACAGCAGCCTCTGTGCTTCTGCCGTGTGACCTCACCCTCTCCCTTCTGCTACATTTTCTGCACTGGCTGATCCGGGGATGTACTGACACGCTTGACCTGTCCCTTCTTGAGCAAACCTCTGGGGCCCCTCCACGTTCCAGACGATGTCGCTGCTTCTGGTTGGCCACCTGGCTGCCCTCGGCAGGCTATTTACCGTTCCTGGAACCTGGCTGAACACTTGGTTCCTTGAGGCTTTTCATGGCCCCCAAGAGGCCACGGCAACACAGGAATACCCCCCGCTGAGCCACCAGACCTTGGCCTTCACTTCCCCAAGACACTGGAGCTACTCACCTTCTCGGCATTAGAGCGGATGCAGCGGATAAAGAAGGGCTCCGCCTTCCCCAGTGTCTCCAGGAGCTTGTTTAGGGACGTCTGGGGAAAGAGGGAGAAGGTCTTGAGCTGGGACCGCCCCCCCCCC